CTTTTAAATTCCAAAACTCGAGGGCAAGTTTTGAGCTTTTCAAAACAATTAGGTTTAAAAAATTTTCGAAAAATTAAAACCTTTTAATCTTAAATATTAAAATTTGATTTAATAATTATCCAAAATTAAACAATTAATTTGAATTATTAAATCTTGGAGGATATCTATTAAATTAAACACTTAATTTAACCTAATCCCTTAAATCCCCTAAAATTCGAAATTATGGGATGGGATAATTCAAAATCTTTAATTACCAAATTTAAACACTTAAAAGATAATTACAAGATATGACATTATCCAAATCCCTAAAAATTAGGATCTAGTCTTGGGGAGGAGGCCAATTTCGAAATCCTAGGGTTGGATAACCCTAGAATTCGAAATCTTGGAGGCTAAGGAAAGGATTTGGGAAACCCTAACCAAATTTCGAAATTTAGGGTTTATGAACCCTAATTTCGAAAATCATGCCTTTAGGGTTTATTGGCTATAAACCCTAATATGTCAAATTCATACTTTTGTATAGAATCTAATTGAAAACAAAAACCAATGGCTCTGATACCACTGATAGGTTTTATACAAACAATCCTATGTGTGCATGCAACCCTAATTGGATCTATGTTTTCACTATTAGACATACAACTTCATGAACACAAAAAGAAACCTGGAATACTCCTATGATTTTCGAAATCCACAAAAGGAGAATAGAATACATACTTTTTGTTGTTATATAGCAATAACAACTAGTTCCTTGAATTTCCTTAGCTCTTGAAAGCAAGTACCACAAGTGTAGTACCTCTAATGGCTCACAAACACACTAGGTAAAAGGATGAATATGGGAGAGAGGAGAGAAGGGTATCTTGCTCTAAAATTCGTCCCTTTTAGGGTTTCCCAAGGCTTGGACAAATTCTAGTGCCTTAAGGTGCTATTTATACTGGAGGCTAGCTAGGGTTTCAAGGTGGAAACCCTAATCCCTTAGCTTAGGGCCCAAGCAAATCCATGGACTCCTTTCCTTAAGCCCTTGGACGAAAACTCCTAGATCCTTCTAGGATTTTCGTTCAAGCCTTAATAAAGGTGATCAAATAGCCCAAAGTCTCAACTATCAAATAATTACAAAACAGCCCATGTACTTTTAATTAATTCCTTTAATCCTGAAACTAAATACTAATTAATAATATGATTCCAAATTAATATAGGCAAAATTTTGTATATACCCTTGCTAAACATCTAAATATCATATTTACCCGGTCTAAATTTTAAATATCATATTTGCCATTTTTAATGTTTTTTAATATCATATATACCCAAATCTATTTTTTTCTTAATTTTTATTGATTTATAATCTTTTTTACCCTTTTAAAAATCATTAAAACTACAAACAAAAGCCAAATGGACAATATTGCCCTTAGTTCTAAATTGCAATGTAACAGGTCACGTGTTTGAAGTTAATTACGATCGCAAGATTTCTTCCTTAATCACAACAGCCTGACTTCTTTCCTATCTCAACCTCTTACGAGCAGCCTCTTATTCCCTCCTGTTCTCGCTCACAAGCAATACACATCATGTAATTGATTTCAACCTTATTTAAACTCCAATCTTTATGTAATCCTACACATTCTACGTACATCAAATCCACAAGTGGTTTAGAAATTTATGAATGACTACAAAGTAAAGCTTTATAATTTTAAGGTGCAAGTGTAAAAGTATTAGATCATGAAATCAAACGCTATTTAAGAAGTTTCATTCATTTGGTTTTAACATTTTGTAAAAATATTCCAAACCATCTGATTCAATCCAAGTAAGAACATGAGAGTAGAACAAACCATGAACAACACAGGAACTGAAAATCCAACCTTCCAACCATACCCATCTTGAATGTAAACCACTACTGTAAAAGCAACAGCTGTCGAGAATGCTCTAGAAGCATAATACCAATTAAAGTAGCTGTCAATGTTGACTAGGGTTGGATGATTTTTGAGTTTGTCTGCAACAACATCCAATCGAGTGTAGACCAAAAGATGAAAAGAGTAAAGCGAGTTGGGTTGGTGTTGCAGGGCTGCAAATGGTGTTAAATTCATCGCATCAATCTGTAGCTCGCTACTCTCTCGAATGCTTCATTCACTGATCCAAAACCAAAATCAAAACCTTAATTAATACGACTGAGATTCATTCATACTCAAACTAAAAAAATGGTGGATCGATTAGCTTTTTTTCCTTCCAAGGACGATTGACGTTTTACCATGATTGATCGACTTCGATTCAAAGATGATTAACTAGTAAGTTGAATTTGGGACGACATGGAGAGAATTAGAACGTGACAGAGACGATAAAGATATCTAGAATGCGAAATTGCGAAAGCAACGTAGGATCCATTGTTGTTTGTCTCTTGCGACTGGCAAATACATCCTTCTAATCGATGTACCCTTTATGCGACTAAGAAGTGCCGTCAGCAAAAAAAGAAGCCGCGGGACGCCGACGATGGTGAGGAGACAAATGCGATCGTGAGGAACTCGGCGACGGCTTGAGGATGAAGCCGAGAGTAAAACCTCGTCTGAATTAAATGAAACCTGTGTTTGTGTTTGTAAAGGAAGGGCAATATTGTCCATTTGGTTTTTGTTTTTAGTTTTAATGATTTTAAAATGGTAAAAAAATTATAAATTAATAAAAATTATCAAAAAAATAGATTTGGATATATATGATATTAAAAAACATTAAGAATGACAAATATGATATTTAAAGTTTAGGTCGGATAAATACGATATTTTGATGTTTAACAAGGGTATATACGAAATTCTGCCATTAATATATTATTCATATAATATATTAACAAATCATATTTATACCCCAATTTATTATTCTTAACAATAAACCAGCCTCTCTCCTTAACAGTCATCCTGTCTAGTCACCAGTGTGAAGGCAACCCAAAAGGACCATGCTCACAATCGGGTCAAGTACATACCAAAATAGTTATGGACTTAGACACTAATCCAACAGTGGGAGTGTCTGTCCCGTATAGATCTATACACAAGATGTCCGCTCTCCCTCCAGGAGACTCTGGTTACAAATTGATACAACACAGTGTCGTTGTATCCTTAAATGGTATGTCACATTAATTTATCGTATAACAGTGTTTGTATAGTAAGTCATAACGTAGAAATGTTCTTTCTGTACTAATGTATAGTATACTCTCCTAGTTTCTCATAATAGTATATATTGACTCATGTATGAACTGACTCTTTGTATGTTTCATTGTTCTAGTAATAGTATTAGTAACTTCCTAAACTATACCTATTATAGTTTACTAGAAATGTTGATTGTATGAATGAACATGTTTGTATACCTTTGCTACCCAAAGGTATTGAACTGAATGAAGGAACTTTTATATATATATATACATATACATAATATATAACTAAAATTCAAACGACCTTCGGACAAACAACTGATACCCTAAGTCCACAATCAAACAAGGAACAGGAAGTAAGGTGAGCTATCAGTCCTAAGTCCTTTCAGTCTTACTTATATAACTATATCTATATAGATACTCATTTTACAAAATGTAAGTTTAGAAAGAAGTTTTGTAAAACCCTTTTGAATAGTTTATACTAAAATTAAACTGAGAAAAAAATTTAATCAATTTAAAAAATCATATTGAAAACAAATATTTTTTTTGAGTAAAATAAGAAATAATATATCAATTATAAGAGAAATACAAATAATTTGCATTAATAAATAATACAACAACAAAAAGATTACCTTAGTTCCATAAAAATGGGATTAGACGAGGTAGGACGGTCGGTAACCCCTACCATAAGGTAGGAGACCGCTTTTGTATAAAACATCCAACCAAAAAAAAAAGATATATATATATATATATATATATATATATATATATATATATATATATATATATATATATATATATATATAAAATTTATTTTAAGATATCTTGGAATATCCCTACATAAAATACTTGCATACAAAATATCAGCTCACATGGAAGATGCTACTAGTATTTATTTATTTTGAATTGAAACACTTGCATGATATCTGATAAATTTTATAAGATATAACTAGGAGTATGCCCATATGTTGGTGATTGATAAAATTATATGGCTAAAATATCATTTAAGTAAATATTGAAATATGTTCGAGTTTATGCCCACAAAAATAGAAAACATGTAAATAACTTATTTTATGATTAGTATGCATATAAGGCATAAAAAGTTCTTTGATGCATTCCAACGAACACTTCTTTGTAAATAATATTGTTGCCAAGTCTTATCAATCATACTTAGATATGTATTTAAAATTATCAAAATTTATTTTTTTTACCCAAATAAATGAACGTACGTGAAAACTTTTTTAGGATATCATCGGGCATCACTATTTGATCGAGTTATTGTTTGTTGTCTAGGTTTTGTCCCAGATTCTGCACTTTTAGTCGAGTTTATGGGCCATTGTCGGTGTTTATTAATCGAGACATTTGTGATACGTTACGCACATGTTTAAGACCATTCAAAACCATGATATCTAAAGACTTTTACTGTACCTTCCATTTTTTTTTTCTTTTAAAATTTCTACCCAATTATAGCAAATTGGAAATTGCTATGTATCTTTAGACATTGCTATAGATAGTTGGGGTGATTTTTTAATAGGAAAAAAAAATGAAAGCATGATGCTATAATAAACAAATCGATGAAAGTGCGTTGTTATTTTTTGCATTTAACCCCAATAACAAATGACAACCATGATCAAGAAGAAAAATACAGTGAAAATCTATTATACCACTACATAAAAGATGCTTATCATTTAAAAGGCTGAAGACACATGAATGAAGAAACTCATCGTCACAGAATCAGTAACAATGTCACATAAATAATGTAACGCCTCCCAATTAGCATCTCATATGGGCCTAATGTACTATCATCTGAAAATGTTGGATGCAAGGAGTACTTTTTCTTTTATTCTCTTGCTTTCACACTATTGAAAAAAAAAAAAAAAATCCATATAACATATTAAGGCTACAACTGAACAAACTTTTTAGGGCTATTTTTGAATTTTGATGATGAGGGTAAGGACTAAGGAGAGCATTTACATTTGAGACTGACCCACCTTTTTGGGTGGGGAAAAAAACAAATGCTCACTAATATTAACTGCCTACCGCTTGGATCCCTCCTCATAAAAGGCCACAACCACGTAGTTTCATTGGTAGACGTGGACCCCACAATTTGCTCATGCAATGTGGATGGAAGGGCTCCCAAAAGAAGGATTCGCATGTTCATATGCTTTGGGGATCTTAAATAAACAAGGATTTCGCACAAGTTTCTTCAAGTCACTCTGCATTGCATTAAATCCAGAATAATAATTTATTTCCAACAACACAACAGAAGAGAAAAAGTAGTATTGCTTGTCATCTATTGTATGTGCAAAAAATAAAATCCAATTTTAAGCCACAGAAGGCTAATTAACTACATATCTATGAGGAATAGGAATACCTGAATGGAATCATGGAGATGAGCCAAATCCGCCTTCTCTAACAATCCAGACTTGTCAAGATCTTCAACGTATTCATTTAGATGATTTAGCACTGAATATGTCATTTGCCTTGTTTTTAAAACACCTAAAACCTAAAAAAAAAAAATCCATCATTATGATTGTATATGATTATGTTCTATGAATTCAAATTCTAACACAAAAACACAAGAGAAAACAAGACCAGAATCTGATTTCAACCCCAAAATGAGACACAAAATTGCTCCAAGGCTTACAGATACTCATCCAAAAGCATGCTAAACTTTCTTTCTATCCATCCCACTACTAATAGGGTACATATGTAACAGAAACTAAAAGTAAAATACCAATTTTGCCCCTCCACTACTTGCTGCTTACAACTCAAGCGATAAATATATACATATAAAAAAAGTTTGGAAAAATAAAGTAACCTGTGGGAAAGTGATGCGAACATCTTCCAGGAACTTTTTTGCTTCCTCTCCTTCTGTCTCACTCTCATTAATTACTTTCAAAGCCAAACCATTTTCACTATCACCTACAATAAGACTTCCAATCTTGGCTAAATTACACATAAATAAAACCTATTTACATTATATCAGCATTTACCCAAAATGCCATTGTAATTTTTTTCAGCCATTATTACCTATAAAGTCATGTAATTGCTGTCTAGCAATCTTATGGGCACGAAGAAAGGCAGCAGATATGTAACATGCAGATTCCAACTTTTCACCTGTGAAATATGTCACAAGCTTCCATGGAAACTTACAATAATTAGGGAAATGAACATAATCCTTCAATCCAATCCAATCACACAGTGGTTTAGAATCAGATGACACCACAATCACATCAAGTGCTTCATACACGGATTGCATCAAAATCTTTGATGTAAACTGTGTAATCCTACCTTCCTTCAGCATCACACAATAAGCATCTTGCACACCTAACATGTAGTTGAAATAATATAGTATTTAGAAATTGAATTAAGGTGAGGAAAAATCAAAATTGTTAATTACCATTTAAGAAGCGTATACGTATCTGTATATCAGATTCAGATAGATCCATGTGGTCCACAATGTTATCATTCTCACATTCCCCTTCTTTTTCATCATTCAAACATGTGATGTAATTCTTGACACTATGCCAATCTACAGATCCTAATTCCTCATCATCCATTAGATCACTGAATGCCTCCAGTGATTTGCGCATTATTTCATATTTGGTGTAATCCAGTATACGCCTCTACCACAATCATTCATTAAAAATCACTTAACAATAGAAATATATACATATGTAATATATAGTTTATTGTATCTGTACCTTAGCAGCTGACATCTTATCCATTTTTAGCATCTGTAACACAAACTGAGTAGTTGATCCGTTTACAATAAGTGTTAGAAACACAATTCCACCAGTGAACACCACAAACTGCAAAACAGAGTAAATTTTTAATTTAGATTCTACATTATTTACAACATTACAATGTCAAGATAAAATATACAAAGAAAAGTACGAGTGTTCCTGTTTCTTGATTAATGTATGCTGATGTGTCACTAGATTGCTGAAAAGAAGTTAGATAAATTAAACATAAGAGATAAGAAGTTAGAATAAACACCATTTAAATCTAGCAAATTAAGGATAAAAATATAATTTTTCAAGATTTGTTATAAAAGTGTAAAGAATAACTTGCCTTAACTGATAAAGCTAGAGACAATGCCACAGGGCCTCTTAAACCAGACCACATAAGGACAATAGCTTCTTTCCAATCTAAACCATAACCAAAATAACTCAAAAAGGGATAAAATAATCCAACCACTATACCCCGTGACAGCTGTACTACTACATAGAGGAGGATGAGATACCCCCAATAATTTTCTGTGTCAAAGATAATAAAAATATGATCATGCCAATTGGAAATAAAATATAAATACAACTGATGATAGCTAGAAGAAATGAAGATATACTTATTCTATTTAATCCTGATCATATTACCTTCATGTTTGAGGATGTTGTCACCTGTGAGTATACCTTCAGCTATGATTGCTCCACTTCAAAATAAAAGAATTAAAAACATAACTAATAAATCAAGTAACAATGAAAAATGGGAAGTTTTATTTATTATAGGAATGCATACCACAAGATGAAGATAAGTGTATTTGCAATATATGCCACCATTTCCCTGCAGTTCAACATCAGGAAGGCCTAAAAGTGTTTTAAGTAATTCTTTTTTACATTTCTATGTATTATATTTATAGCAAGTATATAAAAAGGTAACAAAATACCACAAATTACGCAAGATTTCATGTGTTTCACTATCGAAAGCAGTTCTAGCAACAGCAGCAAAGAACCTGTTCAAATATTCTTCCTATTCAAATTAATATTTTTTTTAAAGGGTATTTGACTGTTTGAAGAAAGTCAACTCACATTCCGAATGCCATCACTGTTAATACTCCAGAAATATCAGCAACTTCTTGAGACTATCAAAACAGAGATACAAATATCAGCATCAAAAGTATAAATATTAGTAAATGTAGGTTTGTGAGTTTATGAGGTAACATATTACATACCATGAAGTAAGCAAGATAGCTAACAGAAAGAGTCATTGTAATTTCTATCACTGGATCTTTGAAAACAAATCCAAGCCACAAATAAGACACCAAACCAAATGCAATACCCATTCCTACACTGGATCAAAGTAAACAAATACTTTTTTTTTTAAAAAAATCAACTATCAAAACTTTAAAGAATAATAACACTTACGCTCCAAGAGATGCAGTTGCTAAGAACATGATCACACTCCCCCAGCTGAAGCTTGATCCAGTTACCATTCGGAAAAAAAGTGTATACACAACCATTCCCATTCTGAATATTATTTATATGGTCACTGATTAATACTTAACTGATTATCTTGAAGACCTTTTGAAAAAAAATGAAAATATAGCAAGTTTTGTGGGACAAAATATGTGGTAAGTTTGATTGATAAACAAAAAATCGATACCCATCATTCATTATTGATTCCCCTTCAATAATAGTACTCAGTTTTTTGGTTGCACCAAGTTCTTTTAAGGTAGCAAGCACAGCAACAGGATCAGTAGCACTTAAAAGTCCTCCAAGCAGCAATGATATTTTCCAGCTCCAGTTATATGGGAAAAGCAGCTGCAGTTATGTTATGTATTTTGGTTAATATTTAGAAAATAGATAATGACATCAGAAAACCCAAGAAATATGTATATAAGAAAACCTTCAAAGCTAACCCAATCAAGAATGTTGACATTAGAACCCCAGGCCCAGCAAGAATTACCATTTGTGCCATGCATTTCTGCAAAGATATGAAGATAGCATTTCTTTTTTATGACATAACAATTATGTTATATAGTATGAAATGAAGCATAAAAGATTAAAATCAACCTTTATTAGGTGCACGTCCATTGCAAATGAACTTTCAAAAAGAAGAGCAGGGAGAAAAACAGCTAACAAAAAGATCAGGGTCAATATTTACCCCTGCATGTAAACCATATATGTGACTTATAAAGCAAGAATAGAGAGCAACTTTGTGGAATATTTCAAAAGAAGTTGATTCAACTTACACATCCTGATTCCATCACCAACCTTTCCTAACCCATGGTTTGTTCCATATTCTGCAAAATATAAATTTTCTGACTTAGGAAAGAACACAATGCTAGACTAGTAAAAGGAAATTAAATCAATCGAAAGGTAACAAAATCAAATCATGCTAAGGAGAAAGCAATCACATATGAGTACTACCAAGTACCATGCTTTTTTTTTTATCAAATGGTACTCTTTCAATCTCACAGAAGTTGCAAATATTCCTACTTTTGGATGTCTGGTATTGGTTGGAGTATCTTCTTTCTCATTTAGGTTTCAATTAATGGATTGCGATTGTTACAGAATGGTGAAAGTACATGGTTGCTTGTTTCCTGATGCTAAACTCAATAAATTGTTTAATACACACTTCTTTTTTGTACTCTGTCCTAAAACAAATTACCTTTTTCCTGGGAACATGTTATCTGCGATGAATTCAATTTGATTTTATCACTAAATATTGGTAAGAACACGGAATACCAATTAATTTCTTCCACATAATGTAATCAAGCAAACACCCAAGGAAAACAGGATCACGTAACTTACAATTTGCACAAACCTAGTGATCCCATGGCGATGCCGAGAACGAGCAGAGCAGCTGTATAAGGAACTCTAGTTCCTTTAAGTAGATGCCTCAATGCGATTCCGAACACCAATGAAATACCCGCGAATAACACCGCGTCTATCGGATTCGAAGACCACTCGGAATCACCCTCCTCCGCCACTATGATGTTTGACCAAGGGCTTTCAACCACCGATACCATTGCCAACACCAACTGAGACCTTCCTACACCACCACCAAAAAGAAAACAAGATTATACATACGCATACACAGATAGGCAGATACACCAGCAAAGTGACTAAGTGAGGATGAAAAAACCTGTGGATCAGGCCAGAAATTGAAGGTGAGAAAGCAGAGTGCTTTAGAGTTACACTTCAACTTACTTACTGCGATCGAAGAAAACAAAATCTAGTGAAAATGAAGTTCAGGAAAGCAATCTATTCTCACTTCTCAGTTCGATATCTACTGGCCATGGCCAAGGGGGAGAAACACAAGCCATATATTGTTAAGGGGGGTCCGAACAAAATTGTAAATAAAAACCTATATATATGTTTTTTTTCATGTGATGTAAGCTATATAATAAAATTAACTAACAGATAACAAAATAGTCGTTATCATCAGATTTTTTTACAAAAGACTAAACATTTTAATAAAATATTTAACTATTAAACTTTTTTCTTTCCTTTTTTTACTATATAAATTGTTTGTTGGTCATTTATTTTTACTATGACTACTTCCTGCAAAAACACAATAACGACAATACTTCAAATACAACTTTAATACCCCTACACATACACTACTTGCTCTATCATTTTTTCTTTTAGACTTTGATCAAACTTATCAATATTCGCAACCCTATACACACATGAGACTAGAAAGAGTTTGTGGTAGATTTTAGTGACAAAAAGAGGAATAGCATACCTACACTTCGGCGACTAGCGGAGAAAGAGCATGAACAGAACGGAGAGAAAACGTTGAAGGCGGTGAGAGAGAGAGAGAGAGAGAGAGAGAGAGAGAGTAGGATGTCTGGTGAGTTTCACGGTAGAAGAGTAAATACTAGGTGAAGTTGTCGAAGTCTTTTGATTCCAGTGGATCAAATAAATCTTCTTAGTTGCACCCCGGTGCTTAGGGTTTCGACCCATTGTTTGGTGTTTTGTAGAGACAATTACTTTGTTTTCTTGTTAAATTAGCTTTTCATTTTGATAACTTTACAAATAAGATTAGTTTGGACTTTTTAATAGTTTAAATTATATAAATAGTGACTATATTAGTTAGGTATCTGTTAGATACAAAAGGTTGAGGCAAGTGAGGTTTATGTTTTGCAAAACTAAATTAAACAATTACTTTATCTATAATATGATATTACGTAAACAAAAAACTTTGGGGTCATGGCAACCCCTGCCCTTTTTACGGTCCCACATTGGGTCATGCTATCATACCGACTAAAATAAGTTGTCAAAAGTCAAAATAGTCAACTCTCTTTCTTATTTTCTAGAGTAATTTACAATTTTGGTTCTTATGTTTAGCCATATTTTTGTTTTATCTTTGCAATTTTGATCTTTATTTTTAGGTTTTTTAAAAAAGAAAACAAATTTGATATATATATATATATATATATATATATATATATATATATATATATAGAGAGAGAGAGAGAGAGAGAGAGAGAGAGAATACGAGTAAATTAAAAAATTGTCCTTATGATTTACGTTACATCCATGTGGTTTTTAAACATTACATTGATGGTCATGGTCTATTTTAAAAGACTATTTTACCTTTACTAATATTTTTTTCTTTTATTTACTTATTATTTTTAATAATATAAATTAATAAGGGATCATATATATATATATATATATATATATATATATATATATATATATATATATTCACCATTTCCACCTCATACCAATGAAACATAATAATGCATAACGTGATCTTAATGATGGTTAACTTTGGTGGCCATTTCGAAGTTCATATGATTTCAAGATTTCTTAAATTATTAAAACTTACATGAAAATCGATTAAAAGAAAATTTTTAGTTGGAGAAAATAAGGGATCATGGAGATAAAGTGAGGGTGTTGGTCTGTTGGTTTGTAGGTAGTGTGTCGATTATGAGTTTATTCAAATTTCTCTCCAATTGTAAGTAGGATCTCGAGGATTCATTGTCGATGAAGGGTATTGATAGATAGTTGTTGATGGAATGGTGATTATTTCATGTGGTTGTCCACCATTTCTTGTAGGCTTTGGTCCTCATCTATTTTTTTGAAATCGTCTCTTGTAGTCTTTTTAAACCAGGTATATTTCTTAACTTTTTTATCGTTTCTTATTTTATATGTGCAATCCTTCGTATGTGCTTGTTTTCTTCGTGGAGAGTTGTGTTGTTGTGCATGGGAGATAATGTACGGCATGTTTGTGTGTTTTCACCCAAAATTGGTCGCCCACGTCTCTATATTTTTTTATGTTGTTACTGTCTCTGGTAACATCACACTCTCTAATTATATTTGATAATGAAAAAGATGGTATGCATTTATTTTTTGGGGAGATATAAGAAGAAGCAACCTTAATAAGCAAACATAAGCTTGGGCTCGAAAGCAAGAAGCAACGACTTACGCACTTAATGGAGCTATTAAGCATCTTAGACTATTTCACTCCATTGTGCAGCTTGACAGAAAAGTGGAGCGAGAACATTTTGAAGGCCACGAGTTGTGTGGTTGTATTTGAACTCTATGATGATATTGAATTCATAACTATCGCGCTATTTTAAACAAACTGCTTTTATTGTGGGATTTGGGACCTAATTCCACATTAATATTTATTAATTAGGACCACATTTTCAGCACATTTTCAATTTAAAACAATTTTAATATAAAATCAAATGATGTTATATTTTTTTAAACTACGCTATCAAGGGGTATTACACATAATACTTAGAAACTTATAAAATCTTTAATCATAAATTTAAATATATGAAATCTTCAATTGTAAACTGTCTAATACCTAAAAGTAAATATCCAATGACACACTCCTTAATATTTGAAAATGTTCTTCTTTATATAAAAAAACAGATTCAATGCAAAATTGTATCTTCTTCAATTTATACTTTTTTTATAATATATATATATATATATATATATATATATATATATGATTTAGAATTAAAGTTTTTTTAATATGAGTTTTAATAAAGATGATTTAGAGCCAAGACAAGTGATTGGTTAGATTAGCTTAAGATGCGTAGATAAGACAGTAAGTGGCGGTGTTGGATCACAATCATCATCAGATGGACTCTCCTATGTTCATCATTATTAAAACTATGTTTAAACCTATGGAAACCACGGTTGAGAAAGAAAAAAACACTATTGATACTTTGTATTCATAATATCTAATCAAAGATTTGTAAAAAATTATAAATTTACAAAAATAGTAGTTTTGTCTGTAAATTTATAATAATTAGTTAAAATTAATATATACATTGAATATTAAATCTACATATGTGTAGATATTTGATAAAATCATGATTTTATACAATGCAATATAAATTTGAATAGAATTTGACTTAAATGAAGAATAAATAGGTAGTTTTATACGGGTTAAGTAAAAGAAAATAAATAATAATAAGAAAACATTAAGAATTTATAAATTAAACACATCGATTTTCTAAGACTTTAAGAAACACTAATCAAGGGAAAGAACAAAAGTAGTATGTTATAATACAAATAAAAGAAAATTTTGTTGCTATTTCTTGCATTAGGCCCTTAAAAACTACCATGTTTTAAAATCAAAGAGCTAAAATGCAAGATATGTCCTTATACTATGAAAATCTATCAAATCATGACATTGCACTATTAAAAAATATAAAATAATTAAAAATTATTAGTTTATACATGTACTTAAGAACCGAAATTTGTATATTTTTAAATTCCAAAAGAAATGCTATAAATAGGTAAATATTTTGAGATACAATATTGTAATAGGAAACAATGAAATCAAGATAATATAATGTAAACAAATATTATAATGTGCTACACCTTTCTAAACAAAAAATGTTGGATTGTATACATGTACATATACACAAACAAAAATAAGCATATGCATATACATATACATATACACAAACAATGTTGAAAGAAAGTATATAACGTTGAAAGAAAGTATGTTAAGATGCGCATATAAGGCAGTAAGTAGCGGTGTTGGACCACAATCATTATCTTATGGATTCTCCTCTGTTCATCATTATTAAAACAAGTAAACTTTCTTATAAAATCTTAATTCAAAGCTAATTAGATATGAGTAGGTTTTCACAATTATTATCTAAAAAAATAGTTTTGACAAAAATATTAATGAAGAACAAGATTATGATAATAATCAAATAAATTTCATCGAAGAATATATAAATGACATATAACAAAGCTTAAATGATTACACAATACCTACACAAAGTATTGATACAATCTATAAAAAATAACATTTGATTAGTTTCAAAGGTACTTAATTAGAATGGCAGAAGAAACTTTGTCTATTGGTCAAAATCTAAATTTATTAGAATGATAAAAATATAAATTTCTTCATATTGGTTTAGTATAAATCACTATTAAACCTTTATTTAGAATTGGTATTGATGTTCATTTTCTCATAATTTTATGAGATAAAAAAACATAAGGATTTCGAAATGAACCAATTTATTTTAATTGTTATCCTTATTTTTCGGTAGTATTATTTGATAAAAATATTTTAGATATTTTAGTTTTAACGGTATAAACTAAAAATTTAGAATTTAAAGATGCTATCAAACATTTAGCAATAATTTATATCGTGTTTATTATAAAATCATGACAACCACTTTAGCATCAAGAACTCGTTTATCAAACCCAAAAAATGATACAATCATTTTTTTTTAATAAAAAAAGAAATCGTATTAAGGTTCATACACCTAAAGATATTATATTACCCAATCATGTAACTGGATGTATGTATGTGTGAACACAGTCGACTGCAATCGTGCTCCATCCTCCGCTATAGAAGCTTCCATTTTGCTCGAGAGAACCAATTTGTTTAGCATAAACAGTTTGAAAAATCCTTTTAGGCCTTTCTTTGGGTCATCACCCATGAACTCGTGTTTGGGCCTTTCACGTCATTCCTTACGCAATAGGCTTTATTTACTAAAAATCAAAATTATTGAAAAATATAAAAACCTCAACCGCCTCTTGAAAACCCTAAAACAATAAAACCCTTTCGTCCTCTTCTCTTCACCGGAACGCTTCTCTTTCGACTACGCTCGTTGCTTTTCATTATATCGGTATTTCTTCTTGTTCTTTGCATGTGTTACTTTTTCCAATTCAATTCGATTACACAGTAATTTCATTTTTGATTCAGTTTATCAACTATTAGCTTTTTATATTGCACCTCTTATGTGTAATTGATCCAATAAGGATACATACAGACCTTACAACTGTTACATAACCTTATCGCTCGAATTTTGATATCAAATCGGCTAATATATTAGCTAGCACCGTGACTTTTGATTCATGTTTTAAGTTTTCTCAAAATTCACAAACATTTTTCAACTTTACAATAAACTTACTACAGTCCAAAACCATATGAATCTCCAGCTACAAATCCACATACGAATGTTCCAAAAGCATCAAAATTAACAAAGTTTAAGCTATACAAACACAATTTTATGCAGTCTATTTGTTTATTTCACATTCATCCCATCAATGAATGATATTGATAAAGTGATTAATCTAATCCTTTTGTTTATATATATATTGACATGACAGAAATGACTAGTCAAGAAACAGGAGGAATGTTTACAGTGGCACAAACCATAGGCAGTGTTCTATGCTGCAAATGTGGGATTCCAATGGCTCCAAATGCAGCCAACATGTGTGTGAAATGCCTCAGATCAGAAGTAGACATAACAGAAGGCTTACAAAAACACGTAATCATAATCCACTGCCCTGAATGTGACACATACCTTCAACCACCAAGAACATGGCTCAAAGCCCAACTCGAATCCAAAGAGCTCCTAACTTTCTGTGTGAAAAGACTAAAAAACCTCAACAAAGTCCTCCGATTAATCCATGCTGAATTCATCTGGACTGAACCACATTCCAAACGCCTCAAAGTCAAACTCAAAGTCCAAAAAGAAGTTCTTAATGGAGCTGTTCTTGAACAATCTTACATAGTCGAATACGTGGTTCAAGATCAAATGTGTGAGTCATGTTCACGTGTTCAAGCCAATCCTGACCAATGGGTTGCAGCTGTTCAATTAAGACAACAAGTAGCTCACAGAAGAACATTCTTCTACTTAGAACAACTTATCCTCAAACATGATGCTGCAGTTCGTGCAATCAGAATCAAACAAATGGATCGAGGTATTGATTTCTTTTTCTCCAATCGTAGTCACGCTGTTAAATTCGTGGAATTTGTTCAAAAAGTTGCTCCAATTAAAAGCCGAAACGATAAACAACTCGTGTCACACGATACTAAAAGCAACAATTATCATTATAAGTACACATTTTCGGTTGAAATTTCTCCAATTTGTCGCGAAGATCTTGTATGTCTTCCGCCAAAAGTCGCTTCTACCCTTGGAAACATTGGCCCTTTGGTTTTATGCACGAAAATCACAAACTCAATCGCGTTTCTTGACCCGTTGACTTTGAGAAACTGTTTTCTTGATGCTGAACAATATTGGAGGACGAATTTCACTTCACTTTTATCTTCTAAACAGCTTGTGGAGTATATAGTTTTGGATGTTGAGTTAATTTCACATGAAGTGAATGTTAGTGGGTCGAAATATGTTATGGCGGATGTACAGGTGGCAAGGGTTTCTGATTTTGGAAAGAATGATACGATTTTTTTTGTGAGGACTCATTTGGGGCATTTGTTGAATCCTGGGGATTTTGCATTAGGGTATGATTTACATGCAGCGAATAGTAATGATATTGAGATTGATAAGTATAAAGGGCTTTCGATTCCGGAGGTTATTTTGGTAAAAAAGAGTTATGAGGAAAGGAGAATAAAGAAACGAGGGAAGCCGAGGGCTTGGAAGTTGAAATCTTTGAATATGGAGGTGGATAATGGTGAGACTAGAGGTGGAAGGGTAGATTTGGAAAAGATGAATAATGAGTATGAACAGTTTTGTAGGGATCTTGAAGAGAATCCGGAGTTGAGATTTAATATTTCACTTTATAGAAATGAGGAGTATCAGAAATCGGAAATGGGGTCGGTTTTGGATGATGACGAAAATGCCCCTTCTGTGCCTTTGGAGGAATTGCTTGCTGATATTAAGTTGAGTGATGATGATTATGGTGAAGATGATGATGATGATGATGATGAAGGAATGAAGGAGTAAATTGGAATGGAATTCCAATGCCATGTTTTTTTTTGGTTAGTTCTTGTTTTGTTTTACTTATTTGATGTTTTATTTGCATTTTATGTTGGAAAAAATACAAGACATTTGGGGTCATATTTTGGATTTGATATGTATTTCTTTGCTAGATTTATTACGAATTCGGCATATATATAAATTTCATGTTGTTGCTATTGATGTAATTTTTATCTATGAAAACGTTATGGTCCTTTATCCTTTTTTTTTTTTTTTTTTTTTTTTCTGTCTTGATTTTTATATGGTTTATTGTCTTATAAAATCATAAAAAAGATTATCATGTTGGAACGTTTTGAAATTGACGAGTATTGTTATTTATTAGATTTGAAGAATCAAAGTTATAAGCTTGTGTTAGGTGCATATAAAGACCAATGAGATCATATGGTTCAAGATAACTATTTATCTCGAATCATATTAATTTGTATTTGATTTTTTAAAATTGTACCCGAACACCATAACTACCACAAAATTTTAATTTTCAACATTCTAATAGATATATTTCAACATATGATTCAAGATGATAACAATGTTTTATGTCCATTTTTTATTTAGTATAATAATTATTAGGTAATAATTATTAGTTAATGATAGTGATCGACTTTACTTATACGCCTGAAAAAAAAGAAGAAAAATAGAAGCATCATAACTCCTCAGATCCATTGTTTGCTCGTACAACCTCCCGCCAAATTGAAGATGATCTCGAATTTTGTTATTAAACCATAGGTTATAGAACTCTTGAACATGTTAGTGATTTCAAGGAAGGGAAATGGGTAAAAGTTATCATTGTCGAACACCATGATTGCATTCTCATTTGAACATAACATCGTTATGTTTCCTATGACTTTTATTTGTAACCATCATCATCATCATCATCATCTTCTTTTTTAATTTCTCTCGTTTATAAAAAAGAAACCCTAAATTAATTCAAAAAACTTAAGTTTTAATATTGACTAGAAATCAAACTTATGAATACTATGATTTTTGAGAAAAGAAATTGGTGACTAAGATTGTCAATGTAACTTTTTAAAAAAGTAAGTTTTTTGTTGTCAAAAATGATATCATTAATTCTAAGGTTGTCAAGATTTAGGATTTCATATAAGATTGTTTTCGGCTTTGCAAAATTGTAATTGGAATCAGATTGTAAAATTCTACCAAAAGCATTTTAAAACATTAAAAACACATTTTCAACCATATGTTAACCATTCAGTTAATAATAAACAATTTAAAACATAAAAAATACATATCAAATACATCGTTTATGATTTCACGATAAACAATTCAAATATTATATGTAGTTGGTCAAACAAAAAAAATATTAGACTTAAAAAACAGTAGCGATCCTATGATCTACGGTTGTTTTTCACGCTTTATGTGATTATTTTGTGATAGAAGATAAAATAGCAGCCACCATAATATATTTGACACCCAAATATTTAATGAATAACTTATATAAATAAAAGATATAAGTAATATGTTGTTTTTAGGAATGATAACATGAAACATTAATATATCTTCATGACACGTTATTATTCATATTGATATCCACATACAGTATATTCCTCAAATGATCCTTCCTCTATATATATATATATATATATATATATATATATATATATATATATATATATAGAGGAAGGATCATTTGAGAATTTATAGTTTTTTGAGAATCTGAGAACCACATAAGCGCCGTTAGATCAAAATAATAGAAGGTCAAGATAATTTGTACATTTTTGTAAAAAATTGGAAAAAAGAAACTCGGGGTATCTGACCTAAATTAATCTGAGGGCATTTTAGGGCTAAGATAACTTATACCTGATCCTTTCCTTACACGCTATTTCCCCTTCATCTCCCATATCTCTCTCTCTCTCTCTCTCTCTCTCTCTTCATCCCACATCCCTTTAATCTTCATTGCACCTCCCGCAATGAACACTTCAGCCCACATCATCCCCTCTCCGTCGACCGCCTCCCTCCGCCCTCCAACAACCAACCTACCTCTGTCAACAATCAACGCCTTCAACGGCTTACCACTATTTCCTTCATCGACCACCACTACGACAACCTAATATCTCCGCTCTCTCACTTCTTCCAAAACCCTTCCATCTCTCCACTGTCACCGGCGTCGGAAGCCTAACGCTCGACATTTCGCCGGAGATCCATTCAATTTAGTAAAAAAAGGAGAAATCAAAACGAAATGGTGTGCTTCTGCTTTTTGGTTGACCAAACTCGTCAAGTGAGACGGTGCAAGCCTGTGGCGGGGCTTTGTTCTAGGTGCGGCGGCGGAGCTAGTGTCGCAGATATGAAGACCGCCACCAGGTTTTGCTATGTTCCGTTCTACTGGAAATCGTGGAAAGCTATTATGTGTACTTTCTGTGGCGCCATTCTTAAAACTTACTAGTGATTTGATCGATTAGGACTAGAATTTACTGAGGAAATGATTATTTGTTGAGATCGAAGCTCTTCTAATCTAATATCTCTAGAAGTTTATGAAGCCTATTTGTTGAATTTAGTGAGATCGGGTCTCGCTTCAGTAGCAGAAGAAACAACTCTCAGCCCAAGCTATTCAAAATAAGGCAAAAGTAACCAGTAACCTTGATTTTGAAATCAAATAGAAAAACTTGTATCTTTATACATCCCGCCTATACACCCGATCAATCAACAAATATCACTTTCAGTCGCAGATCCAGCTAAATCAATCAATCCTTTAAGCTTTGTGCACAGAAATGGAGAAGATATGCGTAGCAGTGAGAGTGAGGCCACCCGTGAAATCAGACGAGGATTCCAATTCCAATTCAAATGGCAGTCACTGGAAGGTAGATGACAACCGTATTTCTCTGTATAGGTCTCTATCCGGCACTCCTCTTCCCCTGCTCTTTCTTATACTTTTGGTACCTAAACAAACCCTTACCTTTTCGTTTGATTTCTTTCTTTTATCTATCAATTGGATAATCTTATGTATCTGTGTTTATACTTTATACGCAGATCATGTTTTCTACTTTCAATTCCCTTTTCATATTAAGTCTTTTTCATAACTTTGATTTACAGGTTTTTTGCCAAAGTTCTTTTTCTATGTATGCAATCTCTCTCTCTCTCTCTCTCTCTCTCTCTCTCTCTCTCTCTCTCTCTTCAGCATTGTTTCTTTTTGGGATGCATGCCATGGCTGTTGCTGTTGCAGCAACTGGAGTAATTCTTGGTTGGCCATTTTCAGTCCTTGCTTTTCTTCCAGTAACAGTCTACTCTCTAAAAGTTGTTTCTAAATTCTAACTTTCTATTTTCTAACCACTTGTTATGTCAATTACACTTTTGGTACGTAATCTTTTATAAAAAAGTTGTTTCTAAATTCTAACTTTCTATTTTCTAACCACTTGTTATGTTTTTGTTTCAGACAATTTCAGTAGTTGTGGATTACTATTACTATGGGAAATGGACATCATCTGTTATGAATCTGTTGGTGTATAATGTTTTAGGAGGTGGAGAGAGTCATTTATATGGAACTGAAGGGCCTTTATTTTACTTGAAGAATGGATTTAATAACTTCAATTTTGCTCTTGTTTTTGCACTGATGTTTGTGGTCCTTTTTCCATTTACAAAGAAGAAATATGCCCCTGATATCGACTTGATCCAAGGTTTCTAATGCTTCCATCAAATGAGTGACGTGGGTCCACCACAATTGATGTTTCTGGCATCATGTAAGTTTCAACTTCAGGTGTTATTTGCACTCGTAGGTGAGGGTATTCATCTGAACCCATCTGTAAGATATTCAAAAACCTAAAAGTTAATATCTGAGATAAATAAAATAAAATAAAAAAAGTTAAAAACAAATATGTTTTTATTTTTACCCGTGTCAATGAACTTCCATTACTTTCAACCACATGTAATAAATCTTGAACATGTGATCGAGCATCGTCTCTTTCAGCTGTTAATTCATCAGTCTGCTTCAGCATCTGTACATGAGATCCAATTTTTTTTCATTATGTAAATTTATTAGTTTTTGTGTAATGTAAGGGGTAGAAAATTAGTTTCTTTATTACATTTTCAAGTTGAAGGTCTTTTTCCCTTAACAATGTAGTGGTGGTATCTAATGTGAAACGATTAGAGCCTGGAGTTCTTAACTCGTTTTCCAATCTATCTAATTCTCTTTGAAGATGCTTCATTAAAGCTTTGTCTGAAATTACCGTATTGACCCGGGCATTTGTACTTACTTCTTTTGAACAACTTGCAAATAAAAGTGTGTTTCTTGATTGTTCAACATGACTTCTTGCAGGGCTCATAGTACATTTATTTAAATAACTTTTAACCTGGATGATACTTGATTATTGTGTTTTGTTATTGCATCTCTCACTCTGAATCTGTTCACATTCTATGAACTGACTAAGTTCTGTAGTTACTGGTCATGAAAATTAATTTGGAAGCTAATAACTGTGCATTTTCAGGCACTGCGTTTGCTTATGGACAAACAAGTAGTGGGAAAACGTTTACAATGAATGGGTTTGAGAATGCTCCGGGAATTATTCACAGAGATGTCAAAGATATTTTTGCCAAGATTGGCATGGTATATGACTATATTCTTATAATTTCACTAGTATATTTTTTCTTTTGGAAATTACAATATAATTTTGTTGATTTTGGTTTAGATATATTTTCAATCGTTAAAAATGGATGATGTCACATGTGAATTAATTTGGATGTGATTCATATGTTTACATGTGATTCACATGTAAATTAATTTGGATGTGATTCATATGTTTACATGTGATTCACATGTAAATCACATGTGATTCACATATTAATCACATGTTAATCATATATGAATAATATGTGATTCACATGTAAATCACAAGTTAATTACATATGAATTACATATATATGTACACATTCACATATTAATCACATTTGATTCACATGTAAATCACATGTGATTCACATGTGAATCACATATGATTCATATGTGAATCGCATGTGATTTACATATGATTTACATACGATGTCATATGTAAATGTGATTCATATGTGAATCGCATGTGATTCATATGTTAATCACATGAAATCATATATGTATTTTTGTGAGTGTTTTTGTATCAATCATTTTTTTTTTAATTTTCTTGTAGATTTGGAAGAAATTGTGGTGAATATTAAAGATGTGAAAAATGATAAATTGAAGAAAATAAGGAAATATTGACACGAAGACATGAAAACACTTTGTAATTTGTAGCATTTTTTATTTTTTATATTTTATTTTGTATCGAATAAAATACTTGTACTATTATGTTTATAGATTAATTAATAAAAATGAGATTTTTTATAATTTACTTACGAATATTATAGTATATGAAATATGTATATATGCATTTGAAAAAATATGCATGTATGCACCTAAAACTTTGATTTCTATTGTTTAAAAAGTTAGAGTATTTTTTTTTTAAATATTCTAGTTTTTTATTAAACTTATTGATTTTTATAAATTTACTTTTTAAAAAAAATACAGATTTTTTGAAAAAATTGCAGATTTTTTTAAATGCAGCTTTTTTTTAAAAAAAAAATTGCAGTTTTTCTTTTTTTTAAATGCAGCTTTCTTAAAAAAACTTGTAGTTTTTTTTTTGAAAAAATTGCAGTTTTTTTTATTTAAAAATGCAGTTTCTTAAAAAAAGTTATAGATTCATTTTTGAAAAAAATTCAGTTTTCTTTAAAAAAAATTCAGTTTTTTGAAAAAATTGCAGTTTAAAAAAAAAATTTTCAATTTTTTTTAAAAAATTCATGTTTTCTATAAAATATTAAAAAATCTGCATTTTAAAAAAAAAATTTGAAAAATACTATTTTTAAAAAAATCGGAAAATTTGATTTATTATGCAAATTTTTAGACATTTATATTAATATATTCAATAACACAAAAAATTTCACATTAAATGAGATTGGTAAGATGACGATCGTGTCCTTAATGAATTAATTTTGATACAACGCTCCACTTTTAGTTCTCGGGTTCTCAGGAAACTATGAGTTCTCAACCCTATATATATATATATATATATATATATATTATATATATATATATATATATATATATATATATATATATATATAGAGAGAGAGAGAGAGAGAGAGAGAGAGAGAGAGAGAGAGCAAGGATCATTTGAGAACTCAATGTTTCCCGAGAACCCGAGAACTAAACAATGACCGTTAGATTAAAATAATAAAGGGTTAGGATGCTTTGTGGCATTTTTGTAAGTACCTGAAAATAAAAAAGGACGGGGGCATTTTATTAAAATAAATCAAGGGCATTTAGGGAAACTGTAATTGATATCCCATTATCAGATTAATCACGTCGACTCTCTCCCTACATCTCTCTCTCTCTCTCTCTCTCTCTCTCTCTCTCTCTCTCTTTCTCTCTCTTCATCCCGTCCCTCTCCCTACACCTTCATCACGTCAACTTCATCGCTGATCGTTTGATGAAATCCAATGCCACCATCTGAAAGCCATGGCCGCCTCCGGTAATCGTCACCATATCGATTAATTGCCTTCTTCATCGTCTCTCCCCCACTTCTCTTTCTCCCTCACACACACACATACACACGTCTTTACGCCTTTGCGACGATGATTCCTTCGATCAGGATAACATCGATGAGAGATTGAAAGAGAACACGACGATGAGAAATCTCTCTCCTCCTATCGTCGCCTCACCTCTTCCTGTTTCAGTCAATTGCAAAAATTAGGGTTTGCAATTGTTTTCTGATCCACAATTTCAATTTCGTGTTAAGATTCGAAATCAATAAACGAGACTAGCAACACGACCATCACGAGTTAGAAATCGACACACGAGTTGGCGATGGAAGGGAAAAAACATTTGGAAGATACGATAGAATCGATATTTCAGATATTATCTTCGATAAAATCAATGGAGCTCTCAATGAAGCTCGACTCCGATACAAAGCATTTGTTGCAACTCTTTGTTCTGTTCTCAGTGCTATTCTAAATTCTAAGGTAATGTTTCCAATTTTTCAATAAGATCGTAATTTTCTCTTCATTTTCAAGTATCTGATCCATTAGTAATCTGATTATCAAACTGTTTACAAACCTTGTAAAAACTATAAATCAAGGATGCTTATGTGTTTGCTTTTGCTATGTTTAAGGGTTGCAAAACATGATATGAATAATGATTTTATGATATTTCATTTTGAATTTTTCATCTGTAAATGAAGGTCAACGCTTATGACATTGATACAATGTTAACTGATGAAATACATGTTATTAGTTGGAAGAGAGTGTCTCGGGAGAACTTATACAGCTCTATTATTTTCTGCAATTTTGCTAGACATTTTATGCTTCATCTTTGCCAGTCAAGAAATTTGGTTAGCATTCTCTCTTATAATCCTTCATTTGTATTTTTTTTTCAGTTTCATCTAAAATAGTTCAGCTTGGGTTGTATGTAGGAACATTTCTTTAGAGATTTATGGAGAATTTGTTATATTTTTAGTGAAATTGACTTTGTTAATGCAAATAATTGGGATCACAGTAAGATCATCATCCTTATTTTCATGGATTCAGATGTATAGATTGGGGCCTTCACTTGTAGATAGTATTTATAGTTTTTAGGATTATTATTACTATTGTTTACATGACCTACAAGTCCATTCTATCTGTTAGTTTTAGACTTTTATCTTCATCAGAGTTTGTTATCAATCTGCTAAAAATACTTACTATGCAGGATCTTGATGAAGGCTGCAATGGCATTGATGACAAAAAAGCTTCCTTACTAATGATGAACTTCACTATTGAGGAAGTCGAGTTTGCAATAAACAAACTTGGTATTGTAATTTGTATTTATTTTAAATCATACAAAATATATTTTACCAATTTGTTTTTCTTCTCGTGATTCTTAATAGGTGAAGATGCTCCTGTGAACGAACTTGTAGATTTCATCTTTGCTGCTCAGTTAGCTAATGCAGATGATAAAAGAATCAGTGAGGAATTTCAGAAAAAGGTTTGGCTGTTCCACCATTAGTCTATCCTTAATCCTTGTAAGTGAGGTCATTTTGTTCTAAAACAGGATATGCTTATTGTAATTGTAGAAAAACTATGGAGTGGGCTTGAACATTTTGTATTTGATTGGTTGATCAATGCTGACAGGTAAGGGCAAGTTATCTTCATAAACTTGAAGATATCTAGTTGATGTGCTCATTGATTTCAAGTGGCATAATTGGAATTATGTCATGTGGTGTTGTGTTTATTTGATAAATTTTCTCATTACAGGGTTGTAAGTCAGGTTGAATATCCTTTGTTGGCTAATTTGAGGGGGCTTATTCTAGACCTAGTTGCACAGCTTATGGGTGCTCTATCACAGATGAGGTGATTGGTAAATTTGGTCAGTTTTTTTCTTACTATGTGTTTATTGATGCCTAAGACTGAAGTGCATTTTAGAAGAAAGCAATGCATGTTTTGTTTATTTGTTTATTGATGCCCAATCAAAAGCTTATGCATATTCAATATTAGATTGTGCAACTGAAATTCGCCTCTAATCGCCATGTTCTCCTTTTCTTTTCAGGGTAGTTGGAAAGGGTTGCAAGTTAGTTGGATGTGGTACTGCTGTACCTATTCTTGAAGTTTCTAATGATGATCTTTCTAACATTGTTGACACAAATGATGGATGGATATCTGTTTAAACGGGAATCCGTAATCGTCGAGTTCTTACAGGTTGGTTTGACTTAATGCATAAAGAATAACTTAATATGAAACTTGAGGCGAATGAGTCTTTCCCAATTCCCATTAAGTCCCTAACTTTTTATAAATTTGTCCTCATCTTGTCCACACAATAACAAGATTGTCTTCATGTTAAGCCATATGAGAGAGATTGGAAGAGAACATTGTATAATGAGTTCAACACTTATAATGTGGACAACTATGGTTGCTTCTTTTTTACTTAGCTAAATTTATAAAAAGTTTAACGTTGTAATTACATGTGATTCACATGTAAATCACATATGAATTACATGTGATTCACATGTAAATCACATGTAATTCATATGTGAATTACATGTGATTCACATGTAAATCACATATGAATTACATATGATTCACACGTAAATCACATGTAATTCACATATGAATTACATGTGATTCATATGAATTACATGTGATTCACATGTAAATCACATGTAATTCACATATGAATTATATGTGATTCACATGTAAATCACATATGAATTGCACGTGATTCACATGTAAATCACATGTAATTCACATATGAATTACATGTGATTCACATGTAATTCACATATGAATTGTAATTTACATATGAATTACATGTGATTCTCATGTGGTTCACATATAAATCACATATGAATTACATGTGATTCACATGTAATTCACATATGAATTACATGTGATACACATGTAAATCAGATATGAATTACATGTGATTCACATGTAAATCACATATGTATTTTTGTGAATGTTTTTTGCATCAATCAATTTCTTTTTAATTTTCTTGTAGATTTGGAAGAAATTGTGGTGAATATTGAAGAGGTGGAAAATGATAAATTGAAGAAAATATGGAAATATTAACACGAAGACATGAAAACGCTTTGAAATTTGTAGCATTTTTTTATTTTTTATATTTTATTTTGTATCGAATAAAATACTTGTACTATTATGTTTATAGATTAATTAATAAATATGAGATTTGTTTTGATTTACTTACGAATATTATAGTATAAGAAATGTACATATGTGCATTTGAAAAAATATGCACATATGCACCTAAAAATTTACTTTTTTAAAAAAAATGCAGTTTTTTAAAAAAATTGCAGTTTTTTTGTTAAATACAGTTTTTTCTGAAAAAAATGTAACTTTCTTTAAAAAAACTTACAATTTTTTTGAAAAAATTACAGTTTTTTTATTTCAAATGCAGTCTTTTAAAAAAAATTGTAGTTATTTTTGAAAAAAATGCAGTTTTCTTTAAAAAAATTGCAGTTTTGTTTTTGAAAAAAATGCAGTTTTTTTTTTAAAAAAATTGCAGTTATTTTAAAAAAATATTTTTTCAATTTTTTTTAATTCATGTTTTCTATAAAAAATTAAAAAATCTGCATTTAAAAAAAAAACGAAAAATACTATTTAAAAAAAAAGTATGAAAGTTTGATTTATGATGTAAATTTTTAGACATTTATATTAATATGTTAAATAGCGCAAAAAAATTAAACATTAAATGAGATTGGTAAGATGACGATCATGTCCTTAATGAATTACTTTTGATCCAACACTC